TTATGTAAAAATACATAAAAAAAAGCTTTATTTCGCCACCGTTTTCTTGCAAAAAATAAGTATAAAAAAACATCTCTCCTTCGCTCTAGTCGTAAACATCATCATCATCATCGTTATCGTCATCATCATCATCATGGTAGTCGTCGTTATGATCATCGATATCATCATCGTCATCATCATCATTATTATCATCATCATCACTATCATCGTCGTCGTCATCATCGTATTCAACATCGTCATCATCATCGCCGTCTTCATCATCATTGTCGTCTTTTTCTCTCGGCGATCGCGCGATATACAATACAGCATTACGTCAATACGGCAAGTATCGTCGTCGCTGATCGTGTTAGAGGTATGTGTTGAGCGGTGTGTACATGTGTGTCGGTGAATGATGGAGGAGAAGGACGGAGGGGCCGCGACTTTTGGGGTAGCGGTGAATTGACTAGTATGGCCCGGACGCACCAGGTGTCCCGTAACTCGTGCTGGGTCCGCTCGGTCCGGTGCCGCCGATTCCTCCACCGATTCCTCCGCCGATTCCCCCGCCGATTCCCCCGCCGATTCCCCCGCCGATTCCCCCGCCGATTCCCCCGCCGATTCCCCCGCCGATTCCCCCGCCGATTCCTCCGCCGATTCCTCCGCCGATTCCTCCACCGATACCGCCACCTCCGCCGCCGGTGACTTCCTTCTACAATGTATAAAAGAAGAAAATTTAAACAAAGGTTCCAAGAATTTAAGATCTCACTTTCTCAGGATAATTTCCATTCTTTTTACCTGTGTCTTGTACTTGATAAAGTAGACTTCCGGTTTGCTAGGTTGAGTAGGCGTGATGGTGGGCAAGTTGATCTCAGGTGCCTCTTCGGGTTTCTTTACCAAGACGTAGATGAGCGTCTTCTGTTCATCCTGTTGCGGTAGCGCCGGGATTACAGGCGCAGTCGGGGTCGGCGGAGTGGGCGCCTTGATGAAAATGATCTTATAGTGCTTCTGCGGTGGGGCCGGTGGTGCGATCGGCCTGATCGGTCTGTCCTCGGGTGCCTCCGGGGGCGGCACGTGAACATAGATGTGTTTCTGAATGAGTGAGCCGCCGCCACCGCCGCCTCCTCCGAATCCGCCACCGAAATCGCCTCCACCGAATGATAATGCACCGATTCCCCCGCCGATTCCTCCGCCGATTCCTCCGCCGATTCCTCCACCGATACCGCCACCTCCGCCACCTCCGCCGAATCCACCTCCAGCACCACCACCGAATCCACCTCCAGAACCGCCACCGAATCCACCTCCTCCACCGTGTCCGCCACCAAAACCGATTCCGCCGCCAGTTCCACCGAAACCTCCTCCACCGGAAGCTCCTCCGGGAGCACCATAGCTACCGCTTGGTTGGCTGTAAGAATATCCGGCTTCCGGCCGCGCCATCGCCGTCGCGGCGAGCGCTAGGATCTGCGATTGCAGAAGAAAAAATTGATTTTATTATCAATATATTGTTTTGGTATTATTTCGAAAATTTATTCTTCGCGCATAGATGTTTTCTATTTTTTCCTGGACAATTTATTATAATCATGTAAAATGTTCACTATATTTTGAAATTAAAAGGGGAATATAGTTGAATATAAGTGAAAAAAAATTCATTAAAAATAATATTTCATAAGATTCTTTTAATATTTTTTTAAAAGAAACAAATGATAAAAATATATTGTTTATATTTGATAATATCATTAATAAATCCATATTCTCTTAATTTTCTTACGCATTTTCTCAAGTAATATAAAAAGGAAAAATATATATATCAAAGACATAAATGCGCTTTTATCTAAATTTTCAAAATAATAAACTCTTTGTATTATCCCGTTTGTTTTCAAGTTTTTGAAAATGAAACAATAAACGTATCTAAGGGCATTTCCGGAAAAAAGCGGCAGTTACTCAAGGCACGAAGCATTTTTTTTGCTATCAATCGAGTTCCACATCATTAACGTATTACGTAAACTGGAAGAGAGAAAAAGAAAAAAAGAGAGATAGAGAAAATCACGGTATTTAATTCTTTTTCTTTTAATCTCGCGTGAACAGAAACTAGAGAAGTAGCACAATCACTGAACCGGTTCCCAGATTGGTCACTATCACGGAGTACATTGACACCGCACACAATGTTCCCCGTGCACCCTCCCCACCCTTTTACTTTCTCTCATGCGTCCTCCCGCCTTCCATCTCCCGGGGATGGAACCCCCGATTATGTTCTCGATCTCGTACGAATTTTGTTTCTCTTCATTTCTTTCATCCACAATTTCTCTCAGCTTCTCCGAGAAATATCGCGTAATTTTCACATAGCCGAAAAGAGAAGGAAATCTGCTTAAAAAACGAATGAAAGGGGAAAGAAGAAGAAAAAGACGGAAGAAGGAAAAGAATATGGAAGGACAGTTGTGGAATCGAAGAAACGAGAAATTCGTCGCGCTACTCACCACGAATGCCCTCATGGTTGCTGCCGTTCCTTGATTTGAGGACTGATGCTTCGCGGATGTCTTGAAGCCTCCTTTTATACGGGCCAGTCTGGGCCCCACTCGATGCCTCGACCCATCACCTATGAGATGCGACGGAGCTATTGCAAATCGCTCGCTCTCTTTCTCTGTCTCTTTCTCTCTTTCCCTCTTTCTTTTCTTAAGCTCTTATTTCTCCTTGTGAGAAGACTCGCGTACACATCACACAAATTTGTCTCTGTACTTTCGTTGAAATTCATCCATTCGATTCGGATAGGATCAAGTATAATACTCAAGTGTCACATACCACATGAATTTCGATGACAAACGAGCGTGAGAAAGATGTTCCTCCATAGGACATTTTATTACGAGTGTATCATAAGACTTTATCTAGTTGTGCCTCTTTTATGCGCGATGCCATAATGACTGGCAAAAGCCTTTCGATGAAATGATTTTTATTATTACTATTGATTTGAAATGTTTTTATTAATTTTGATGATTGCACAATACTCTTGCACGCAAATCCTCACACATAAAATACGTGTCTCACACATACAATGCATCACAGTATCAATATAATATACATTATTAAACCTTATTAAAATTAAATATTATACATATGTGTAAAGATTTTGTCGAGTGTCAGATTTTATAAAGTCACGAACGACGATTTCGCGGAGTCACTATAAAACTTTTGCGCAATAAATGTCATAATGTCTCGCAGATATACTTAAAGAAAGATCATATACGATCTTATAAAGATATCGCAAATTATATTGCGGTTAACTATCCGGTTGGTCCATAAAAGAGTTTCAGTTCGTTTTCTGCAATTTTGTATATATATGTACAGTCAATATACAAATCACTCACAAAAACATTGTTTTCTTCAATTTCAAATTCAACCAGGTAAATCTATATAATTGTCCTCAAATAGAAATATTATTAAAATAAAAATATTTCGGGATTCTTTTATTATATTTTATAAGAATATTTATATTTATAGGAATATGATTTTATAATATCTTCACATAGCATATGAAGTACATAAATGATGATGATATTAAATATCAATTTTTGCATAGAAAAAACATTAAAATTGTTATAAAACAATCAAAAATTATTGCATTTGTACATGTCATTGCACTTAAAAGCGCCGACGTTTCGATGCGTCCTGTAGAAAGTGTACTTGATACGTTTAACAGATGCTAGGAATCCGTGAAACTCTCGTCTGGACCAATTTCATTCGATTATATCATATTATAGAGATGTTTAATGAAGTATTTATATATAATAGTAAGTATTTATAATATTAAGTATATATATATATATATATATATATATATATATATATATAAAATTAGGTAACAGATACTTGAAAAATTTATATTTTCATTCCCATACCGCGATATGCAAAATTCTTATTGCAATACTGATTCAATATTTAGAAGCAAGAAAGTTGTTAAAAAAATTTTACTTTTTTCATTGTAAAGTCTATAAAAAAATTCACAACAACAAATCTGTTACATTTTTTTATACAATCATTATAAATTTTTATTATAAAATATTATACATTTTTTAATATAATCACCCAAGAACCCAATCAAGCTTCGAATAAGATTTTCATTATGCGTAGAGATCCACATAAACGTTCATCTAATTCTTTTTTTAAATACTCTACAATTTACTAAGTATTTAATTCACGGTAACCGAATGCTTTCCGCCAAGATCGAAACAATGGAATTACTTACTTCCGTGATCACTCGGAAACTAGGAAGCAGTTAAGGAGAGAAGTTAAAAATTTCGGTTGCCACGTTCCTTAAAGCATTTCGCTTACGAGAAAAAGGAAAAAAGAAGGAGGAGAAAAGAAATCAAATTGATCTCTATTTTTTTCTCACTTCGAAATATTAAACAAAAAATATAGAATATTAAAAAAATTCTTTTCGAGCATATGTCAACTCTCGTTTTGCGATGATGCGCGACGCCTTCGCCGCAATACGATAAATAGATCACGAATGGAACGAGTTCTCCGTTTTCGGACGCACCGTACGATCATTGGCCGACGAAAAGTTAGCCTTGCTAGACGACGGTATCCTCTCACGCACGAGATCTACACGTCTTCGGCCTACACATGCGCGTAGATACAGTAGACAAGAGGAGAGGCTGTATATACACATATGTATAGTTTCGGAGAACGATTCAAGAATGACATAATAAGTGATGCAAGTCTTCATGCAGGTTCTAGGCAGTTCTGGGGGTTTCTAGTTCAACAGCGATATGTGAGTCAGACGGAAACGGAGTATAAAAAGATCGAGAAAGTTCAATCTTTTAGGATGTTTCGGAATAAATTTATTTTAATCGTAAATTTTATAAATAATATTATTGATATGAACTAAATTTGCTAGCTTAACCCCTTGCACAATGCTAGGCAACAGGCAATAGGAATAGGAAATAGAAACTATTCACCAAGAAATACGCGAAATAGAAAATATTCGCCAATAAGAGCTGAGAATAGATACTATTTCTGTTCTTATTGCCTGTTCTTGTTGGCTAGCATTGTGCAAGGGTCTTTACGGTGATGATGTACCTCTTTTAATTTCAAATGTACAAAAAATACCAAAATCTGTATGTTAATATGAGAAGTTTGATAATTAAAAAAAAGGAAAAACTAGCTTAAAATAAAGATCGAGCAAGAAGAGATTCTAGTCGCAGCAGACAATTATTAATCTCTAGGAATCTTTAAAACCGTTTTCATATATACAGGGTGTGCCAGACCATCCGTACATCCCTTTTGAAATGAAAATAAATGACTTTTACCAAAAATTGCGAACAATTTTTAAGTAAATCGGATACGTTCTGTCAAATGGTGATATTTTCAACTTTTGATTCCGACCGAAATACGCCATCCGGATCGGAACTTGAATTTTTTTAGGGGTACTTTTTATTACAAATTTGAATTGTACGTGAAAAAATAAGAAACTTTTGTATCAAACGCTTTTTCTAAAAATGCCTCTGTCAATCTTAAAATTGACCTTGAAAGTAACTGTGATAAAATAACAGAAGCATTTTTAGAAAAAAATGTTTCATACAAAAGTTTCTTATTTTTTCACATACAAGTCGAATCTATAATAAAAAGTACCATGTTTCCGTAAAAAAATTTAATTTATTTTCCGATCCGGATGGCGTATTTCGAAATCAAAAGTTGAAAATATCATCATTTGATAGAGCGTACTCGATTTAAAAATTGTTCACGATTTTTAATAAAAGCCATTTATTTTCATTTTAAAAAGGATGTACGGGTGGTCTGGGACATCCTTTATAATCGCGATGACAAATCACATTAAAAGCAGATATTTCTTTCATCTAATAGATATTTCAACGAAGAATTCTAATAGACTCGACCGATGGCGCATCGTTGGATTATCATGAACCTTCGTTGCGAAAACGAAAGTTTTCCTTTCCCGCGAAGAAGCTGCTTCCTCATGAGATGAAGAGAAAGAGAGAGAGAGAGAAAGAGAGAGAGAGAGAGAGAGAAAGAGAGAGAGAGAGAGAAAGGGGCCTCAAAATCCATTTGACCCGAATATTCGATGCGTTCACGAAGATGCGTCTTTTCGTTCTTTCTTTCCTTTTGTTCAGAGGGAATCAAAGAAGACGACGAGGTATGCTTCTTTTTCTCTTTTTTTTTATCGCGTTCTCCCTCTCTCTTCACTGCATGAGAGCAAATTCGGCAGATCTAGATCCTTATCGATCGCACACGGATTCTCGGCAATATCCATCGAGGCCAAAGATGAGCAAGAAAAAGAGAGATAAAGAGAAAGAATCGCATCGATCACTCCAGCCACGCACCATGTGAATTAAAGAGGGAAATCATAAATTACAAGAGACATTCATGGAAGATTTACTGCACTTAATTTCTTTGGCGATACTTTTTCTCCATTATTTTCCTCGCGACAGAGCGTTGTTTATTTCAAAATGATATATTATACCTTTCTTTCTTTGTCAAATCGAGAAATCCAACTTGGAGCACTACGATATATCTTTGAGCGTGCTTTTGATCAAATTAATTTCCTCTCGAATTAATTACTGATAAAGAAACATAAAAGCAAGAAGAAGAGGAGAGAAAATGGAGTAGAGTGAGGAATTCCGGCGATAAAAATGCATGGAAAATCATTATCCGAATGAAACCGGTCGCAAATTATTGTAGCGTGAAATGTAAACGCAACGTAATTTGCGTCACGTACATTACGGACAAATTAAATGTCCTCCGACGTCACGTATGTTGCGAGTATATCGTGCACCGCGAGCACTTCTTTTTCCGCGATCGTTATGTAACATGCAGTAACGTGTACGTTACTACCTCACATTATACGTTCTCGTATCTTAGAATATAACGATAATGGTAGGATATTTTCATAAATTCCACGGTTCCCGCGAGGCAAAACGCTAAGCTTCTTCGTCGCTTCTTTCGCGCTCGCGGATAGTGAAATCCTCGCGAGATCCACGAGACTTGGAAAATGATGCGTCCCGTGAAAAAAAAAAGTTACGCGCGTAACGAATCTATTGCGAATTATAAACATGACGTAACCCGCATGAGCCCCTGGGAAAATCGATAGTACTTTCCTTATCGAAACATCGACAGAGAGGAATTTTTCTAGAAAAAAAGAAAGAGAGAGTACGAGAGATATAAATTAATATTGCGCAATATTTATTGCGAGACGCGAGTAATCGAGCGATCGTAAGAACTCGTTAGAGCTCGAAGCTAAGACAGGAGAATTCGCGGGCTGTATCTCCGTTCCGGTGTTCCAGTAATAGAGCATATCGAGCAAGGGTTGGAACAATTGAGAATACAGTCTGTTATATACCTGCGAGATGTACCCAAAGAATACATTGTAGTCAAAATGATGTCATTTTGACGTCGTAATTACATCACAATAGAAGAAATCAAAATGACGCTTTTTGGTTACAAAATTTGACGATTTGTTGATGATTATTAATATACGCAATAAATGAATTATTTCTCATTATATCCATCTAATTTCAA